TAGGATGAATCTGTTTGTTTTCTTGGCAGTCCATGGTATGGTACATTCAATACTCTTCTCCAACATCATAGCTCAAAGGCATCAACTCTCCTTCTAGCCTCCCTAGTCATTGTCCAGCTCTCTGATGCATAGCAAGTAATTGCAAAGACCATGGACTGTATCAGGCTCACCTTTGTCTCCAGACTAACATCTCCATTCAGACTGACATGAAGGATTATAGGTATCAAACAAAAAAACAAAGACACCTAAAGCCAAACCAATTGACACAGGACCAAAAAAATTCTATTAAAAAAGGGAGGAAATCTAATTTCCTTGGGGTATATTTCTAGTAGTGGAATAGCTGCATCATATGGAGTTTCTATGGCCAACTTTTCGAGGAAATGACAAGCTGTCTTGCAGAGTTGCTGCACCGTTTTACAATCCCACCAACAGTGTATGAGAGTTGACATCCTTCTAACATTTACTGGTTGCTGCCCTGCTCATCCTGGCCACTTGGGGTGAGGTGGTATGTCATCGTGAGTTTGATTTGCATCTCTCTTATTGCCAGGGTTTGTGAGCATTTTTTCATATGTCTGTTGGTCATCCACATGTCTTCCTCTGTGAAAAGTCTTTCCACGTCTTTTGCCCATTCGGTCATTGGGTTATCAGTCTTTTTCTTCTGGAAGCCCAGGAATATTCTGTAAAGTTTTGTTATGAGACCCATGGAGGGAGGGGACAAGGAAGGAAATGGGAAAGATCTGGGTAAAAATACAGGGTAATTATGGGCAAGGTCCAATGGTGATTAATTTTATAAAACAGAACACATGAGAATGTATCAGACACAGTAAGAACGAGGATTAGTGTGAAACACAATGTATACAAACTTCGTAAACAAAGCAATAAAAAGGGGGGAAGGAGAAAAAAAAAGTCTTGAGTGGAATTTCACCTTTAAAATGAAGCCTAAAATCATAAGATTGTAAAAGTGAGCCAATCGCACCTCGACAGGGCTTAGTAAATACTAATTCTCAGAATGGCAAAGAATGATTCTTGAGTTTCACTTTATGTCCCCCCCACCCCCCAAGCGAGTTGTCCAAAAGTAAAATGTAACATTCTTTTCTTCCTTCTTCCCACTGACTTTTGCGGCTCTGTGGCTGAGAATTTTCTTTTTGTTGAAACGTCTACATGTTTCATCCCCACGTCCACAGGCTTCTCTTAATCCTTTGAAATTCACTGTCTCCTAGTCCAGACCCAGGAGAGATTTGGGTCTTGGCTGAGTGTGTCTTGGAGTATGCCGTGTTCCTCAAGAACTTCCAGGTGGAAGATGCCTCACTGACAACTTCACACAACACATGAATTCCCACAGGAGTCACTTTCTGTGTCCCGTGTACACGCCGGCGAGGACTCTGGAATGAACACCGCACACTGAAGGACATTTAAAAAAAAAAAGGTTCTCGCACAGGGAGTCCACTTGGAGACAGGAAGGGCTAGGGCATAATCACTTAAGGGTGTGTCAGGGATGAAAGGACGAACTGGAGAAACAAGCACGGGGAGATGGTCGGACAGATGGGCAGACAGGTGAGAAGA